CTGATTTGAGAGTGAGCCAGTAGACTTTTATATATTTCCGATATTTGTAAATTCATTGAAAGTTTGCCAGTTTAGTTTCATTCATTGTCACCTATCCATCTTTCCGGACAATAGTGCTATATTGTGCTATGAATGGGGCATGGGTCTCACAGCACACATCGATGGCCAGTGTGACTAGCAAGACCTGCCAGTCTTCCACATTTATAGCATGCAATTTCAGGACCGTTGTTGTCAACATTTGTATTAGTGTGTTGAGTTTAATGGGGTCATATATTTCACTTTAACACTTGGAACCCTGCTGTTCCTTAACCTTGAGATAACATTTACTAGAGCATCAAACCCTGTTTCTTCTAACAGTCTTGAAGCTTTGAACCTCCTTTCCCTGACTTTCAGGTCACTCTGTAGTCATTATCTACCTCATCTGTGATCTCCCCTCTTACCTGTTAAACAGATAGATCAGCCAGCTTTTCAGCTTCCTTCTGGGAGTTTATTATATTCCTAACCAGATCAAGCTCTAAGCTACTTTATATTTTTCTCTGTGCATTATCTGGTACCAATAAAATCCTAGGTCGATATGAGGGCATTCTGGTAAGGTTTGAGAAAGGGCAACTTAAAATAATAGCAGTGAAAACAGTTGTAAATCGGGCATTTGAACTGAAAAGTGCACGGTGGACACACCTTTTGCACAGGTTGTCATTGCGACACATCTTTCTAACTCAACCTCACAACTTTATTTATATTTAAAAAAAAAACTGAACAAAATACCTGACACCATGTAGTAATTGTAATGTAAACATGAAAACAAGCATAATTATACACACATAAATGTGTTGTAACATTTTGGTGCTCGGTGATTTGCTTAGTCTGTGTTAAAGTGACATGGCAAATGGCACTTGTTGAGTACTATTTTTTTTTTTAAGTTTTAATGTTTGACATTAACTTCCTTTATTTTTCTGTTTTTCTGTCAGCCCTGATTTTTGAACGGTTTGCCTTTATGGGACACATGAGAAAAAGAGATTAATTGTTCAGACACATAAGTTCAATAAATATTGTGCACTAACATCATGATAAATAGCATCAAAGTATTCACAATTTGGATTTGTGGCTGGCCGCTTTATGAGTTCATAATGGGATGCATGTTTGACATGTCTAGTCTGTAATATATTTGTACATCGGTAGGTTGTTGCAGAAGTCAGACTTGCAGGTTGATTGAATACACGAGTGACTTTGACAGACTTGATGTCGCTCCTTTTAGGATATTCTGTTTTCTTTTAAGGAAATAACAAAAGTCCCGCCTGAGATTTAAGCATTGTGGATATATTGTCTTCAATGTCTTTCGATGTGTTTGTGTATGCGCAAACCATTATATTTCATGGAGCAGTTAATAATTTTAAACAACTCAGACGTTAACATTTTGAAGCTGTAACCGATAGATTGATCACTTTTAGTGTGAACGTTAAAAGTTAAGATAATATTTCGATATGAATGCTTGAGTGGAAGACAGCAAGCATCTACTGGGAATGCGTTTACTTTTTTTTTTTTTAAGTGTTCATTCAAAATGCATGTTTCTGGTGTCACTAAAATGGCACAATAGATGTCTGTGCTTTATTATGTACCATTTACATGACTGAACATTTGTTGTGTGTAGGCAACATTGTAAAACTGAAATATCCATTCTAGCATAGATACTTGTTAAATTTGTTAACTTGCTTAGCTGCATTCTGCCAATTTCATGTAATATGTCAATCCTCTCAGCTCGTCTTCTGTCAGTTGTTGTGTCTGATTAACCTGATGTATGGGTCTATGAATCAGCAGTCAAGATACAAGCATATTTGGGGACTGAGATTCACAAAGTGCTGTCTCGATATTGAATGTTAGCTAAGCTATAAGTGAGCCTTCAACACCCTTCGGTTCATTAGCCTCACGGAACACCGACAAAGGCTTCATATCAAGGCTTCAAACATTTTCCTCTCTATTCTCTGAAGCAAATACTTTAATAATGAACCCTGTTTCTGTATGATTAAAATACCTTTTTATAATCTTCACCTATTTAGGATTCTTCATTTCTTAAATGTTTGTCTTTGTGTGAAACCCCGAAATCTTTATTTTACCCTGACATTAATTATTCATTGTCCACATCTTTGTGTTCTCCCGACTCCCACTGGCTTGAGACATGCAATTATGACTGATTCACATGGCATGTTGAGAAAGATTGAGACTGGCATGTTCTGTGCAGAGTGACAGGCATCGCTTTAGAGATCCTGGGTAGTTTGGTGTCCTTTAGACATTTTCTCAGGGTCATGCCAATATGTTGGAAAATAAACAGACTGGCTGGCTGGTTGTGCACCACTTGCTGATGAATTGATGCTAGATGTTGTAAGAGTCCTTTAGGACCAAGAGAACAGCGCAGAGGCACACATAAATCATTATTGTGTGAGGAGAATATTGCTGTGATGAGTGACTGAAGGGATCTGGCCAATGCTCAGCACACGATAGAAAGGTGAGATGGATAAGCAGTCATACTGTTACTGGTGCCACTGGAATTGGAACTCTGTCCTCACTGCTGAAGATGGAGATCGGGATGGAGCATAATTGGGGATTTTCTGAGAACTGATTTTTATTCTTCATTCAACCTGGTGACATCCTGAAAGCTTCAGTTTTACCACCCCCACCTGCCAACCCCCAATCTTTGATCATTGTCCTTTTTTTTTTAAAGTAAACTCACAGTATTGTGTTTAAATGTTTTTGAGGCGTTCATTGTTGATTCGACCATTCCTATTCTTAGAGCATAAGGAATTTTCTTTGTTTTGTGCAGAGATTTTGTCTGAGTTCTAGACACTGTTAAAGTTTCAGCTATTTTTGAGTTTGTTTTAAAATATATTAGTGTTGCACAAGAATGAGTTGGATTAAATTTATAAATTGCTGGTTTTTGTTTTACAAAGCTCATATCTTGAAAGTAAAAGGTAAATAAATTGTGTTTACTTCAAAACATATATTGTGCCAGACTAGCCTACAGAGCACATCTGTCTTTTAGCAAGGTGTACATCCCAACAAAGTATTCATTCTGAATAAAATGCTTTATGCAAATTTGTTATTACTCAGATAACACGCATGCACACGCACGCGCGCGCACACACGCGCACACACACACACACACACACACACACACACACACACACACACCCACCCCTAAAACTATGTAGTTTAAAAAAAACAGGCAGAAAGTAAATAAACACTAAACCATTTATGTCACACAAATGAACACATATACACGTGCAGCTATATGAAAAACATTACAGCTGTATATCAGTTAAGAAAATGCAGTTTCAGAAACTATACCTGTATACAGACTGGTACAGCAAGTGTGTGTTAAATTCCTCTCCCCAGAAGGAAATTTTTCTAGATAGATATCTTTTATTCACCTAATTTTAAATTGCACAGGTATTATTTTTGCTGTTATCGTAGTTACTTGTATTCAGTTGGTAGTAATCACATGATTCTAGACAGCTTATTTTGCCACTTTTGATTCCTATTTTCAGTCTTTGTTGAATAAAAATGGCACGCATACTTTATTTCCTCACTAAATTTCTTCAGGTTGTTGATCAGAGAGTAGATTATTATGTCATTTGAGTAAAATCCACTCTGATTCTAAAATAAAATATCAAAAGCATGAATTTAACTGAGAAAATATGTGTTGCCACATAAAACCTTGAATTGGAAGACATCTTCCAGGAAAAATTTTGGTAATTTTATTGAAAAATTATCACTCATCAGTTTGGTTGTCTGTAGAACAAACAGCTTTCCACTGCAAGTTATCCTAAAGTTATATTTTCTTATTTCCTAACTATTCCTTGGAAACAGTTGTCTACATACAACATAGCTGTCAAGAAATTATTTTATTTATTTGTCATTATTTTATTTGAAGTGTTTGGGTATATTTTTCTGAAGAGATACCAGAGGTCAAGTATTTGGAGTGAGGTTTAGGCTCTTGAGGTTTTAGATTCGTATTTTTGAAAAAGTACTTCTGTAGGTTTGATGTGATGAAGGCTGTTGAAGCACCTTGTAAAATAACTAAAGCCACAGTTGTCATTAGATAAAAAATAGTAGCAAAAGGGCTCATTCATATACATGTTGTGCATGATTGAAGTATATTTTGGTGTCCCTTATGACAACGCATATTGACCATCACTATTCTCAGTTGTTTGTGAGGATACCTCTGCTTTCTCATGACTCCGTGCGTGTTGAGGCTCTGCTCTATTCCAACAGTATGAAAAAGATGTCCCTAAGGCGCTGTAGACAGAAAGATTGCAGTGAGTTAACCTTTTAGTGTTTAAACCACCATTAGCGAGCCAACAGCGTTTTCTTTCCACTTGGTAGACTTGAAAATAGGGTCTAGTGGTTACATTATTCTGTGTTGGGCTTGTATTTGTGAGGCCTGTTGATTTGTTACACTGTCATGGTGATTTCTTGCTTGTCGCATAATAAAGTTGTAAGTTGTCATTTTTGCAAACTGCATTGGAGCTAATATATTAGAATGAAAACGAAAACTTTGTAGATTCTACACTAAAATTATTTCAAGGAGTTGTGCTGTAAGGGCATGTCGCAGTTTTTAATCTTTGTTGATGGACTTATCACAAGGAGTCAAAATGTCTTTTGTTGATTACATCAGCTATTTCTGCGAATGCCTGTCTTACGGACGCACTCCTTAAAAGTGGAGCAGATTTTCTATGAGAATTCTAGTCGAAACTCCCGACGATGGCGCAGTCGAAGCGGACAAATAAATTTTGGTGAGTAGGTTTGGCTAGTTGACAGTTTGTGTGCTTTCTCTAGGGTATAGCTAAATTATTATATGGGTTTTATTGTCAGATTTTTCGTATTACATCTTGATGAAGGGATTGCAAACAGATTGTAACATTATTTAATTAAAGGCATGCTCCTGTCATTTTGTGAGGTATCCTTGTTTTCTCTTGCTCATTCGAAAATTCCTCTTAACGCACCAGCTCTTCCTTCGTATGCCTGTCCTCACGTATCACCCTAAAAGGGCTTTGGAGACATTCTATGTTAATGCAACGCGGAAAATGCAAAAAAGACGTCTCAGAGCCAATGTGAAGGGTAAGTACAACATGACTAAATATTTAGTGATGAACTAACAGAGTATCTGTACTGTATTGATAATAGTGGTCTCCTACCCACAGCGTTATTGTATTATACATCTAGCATGCCATTGGTTTCTGTAAACTTATTTTATTTGGTTCTTGGAAAATCACCACAGTGCTTTTATGCTAGATCTGATTATCAAAAATAAGATACATGCAGTTGAACATATGTGTCACAGATCTTCCGGCGCTTGCCACTTCTAAGGTACTCGTATACACGCACTGAACACTTCATGTATGTTAACAGTATGAGAAAGATTCAACTGAGACGTCAGTCGGGTGAGTCACTAGACATAGTTCCATACAGTGGATGTTTAACATATAATGTCTGCTCTATCTGCCTGTTTCCTTTCTGTCTTTGGCAGTATGACAGGCTCTAGGTTCAATTCGGAAGGTATCTTCTGTCCTGGGAATCTTCTCTTGTGATAAAAAATTTAAATCATTTTTTTAAAGGTTTCTTTCATTGAGTCGGAGAGGTTAGAAATAATTATAGCATCTCTCTTCTAATTTGCTTTCTCAGCTGTTTCGTCGTATGCCTTCTCTGCTAACAAGATATGAATCAGTGATGGAGAATTTCTATATTAACAGTATGCGGCGCATGTACAGAGATCGGGACAAAGTGAAGCTAAGTATGTGTACAGTCTAGTCTTGGGGCTTTTACATCTAACTAAAGGAGCATTCACTGAAGCCTGTTTAAGGTTTTGTTGTATTCTCTTGGCCTTATTTTGTCAACAGTTTTATGTTAACATAAATTTTAGTTTTTTTTTTTTTTTTTACACATCAGAAGTAGAACTTGTGCAGTATGAAGTGATCTAATTTCAAGTATAATTCACACTAAATGAGATGGCATAGTTTAGCTGCTGTCCTCGGTGCATTGGTTTTCAAAGTTTTATATCAGTCTTAGAGACACAGAAGACAGCTCTGTGTAATCAGCATTATTGGTTCAATTACAGTGGATCCTCTATCATAGAAATGTAATGAGAAATTAGAATGTCAGTAAATTTGCTATGACAGGAGCTGTGAAACAGTCCTGGCATAGATCTCGAAGTCCACAGTGTTGCAGAAACAGCTAAAATTAACTAAAAGAATTGATCGCGAAAGTGAATATTAGCTCTTTCCTCTTCCCCCCCCCCCCCCCCCCCCCCCCCCAACATCTATCTTCTTTCAAAGGAAATTAGATGCCCTGCCCAAATATCATTAATGGCAAGGGGATCAAATTGTCTGGTTTCAAGTGAGGTTGCTAACATCTGTAGCAAAATACACTTATGACACCCACCGCCAGCATGCCTTACAGGGCTATTCATCTTCCAGACCATGGACCAAATCTGGCACGCAGATCATATGTCACTTGTATCGTATTAATGATCATTCTGCGCTTGGGCCTGAAGTGATTCCCCATTTTAACATTTTCACCATATGAAAGTACCAACCACTTTTTCTTAGTGCCTTGTATTTTTAGATACCAGAGAAAAAAAATTATACCGCAAATCATTCCCAGCAGTTTACTAACTGCAGACGATGGTTCCCTGAAACAGATGCCTGGACCTACACCATTTATGAGAGTGGTATTAAATGGTCAACAGTTGACAACTTATCAGTGCTGGGATTTGATTTGATTCAAGAACCGACAACACAACATTCGGGCTCAGTCCCTATCTTCAGCAGCCAGCAAAAAGTTCCGATACTAATGGTGTCAGTAGCATTCTGATTAAACGTCCGTCTTGCCTTTCCTCTGAGCCTCTAGCATCTACCAGAATCTCTCGTCTCTCCCCCCTGCATCAGTCTCACCAGACTGGTGATCCGTCTGCTCCTCCGAACTGTACACGCTCTCCCACAAGGCACTAACCACGTCTGCCTTATTATGCATCAGTATTCCATCAGTGCTGGGAACAGCTCAAAAGTGGGTCAGCATCAAGTCATAGGCAGACAGATGCATACGCAAGTGGGGCTTCAATCCAGGCTGTTTTATTGACAAGTCTGCACTCTCCATTATTGGTTCAAGAAAAGGCAATAGATATGTCGATGACTTGCTCATATGGCATAATGACATGAAAACAGACCCAAACTGAGACTTGATTGTGCGCTGGGCACATAAATGATCATGCCATTCATTGATTGCACCTCACATAGCACAAGAACTGTGCCTCCTTAACGCCTTGTTGTTTTCCTCATTGGAAAGGGGGAGGAATGTGTGTGTATGTGTGTCTTTTTTGTTGTTGTGCAAGTAGGTATTCTTGGGGTTGTGTGTCCATGTAAAGGTTTCTTGGCAAGGCTCAGTTCGTGCTATTTTAGGGAGTTTGTTTTTTAAAATTTATTTTTTATTCTTACATTGAGAGGATAGTTTACAATTATTTATCTCTGTAGCTGGTATTATATCTGTTCATTTTACGAGACAGTGTAGCATAAGTTATTATTTTTTAAACTTTACCTTGAGGCAAAGCGGTTCAGAAACTGAAGGTTGATATCACTCGACTAGAAGGTAAGAGAATTGATAAATAGCTACCTTTTTTTTTTTTTTTTTTTTTTTTTTTAAAATAATGAAATGTTTCACTGATGTTTCATATGAAGAAATTAGCTCACACAAAATTATGGTGACATACAATAGATAAAGAGACTGAAAGAGTGGCCAAATTGATCTGTAACTGTTTTAGATGCGTGTACATCAGCCTGCTTGTTTTGTTTTCAAGTTTCACTTCCTCCGGCATTTTTCAATGTTTGCCATTGTATTATAGTATTCTACATGTTGGTTTTTCTGAGCTTGTAATTAAGAATACCATTTTCCTATTATTAGTGAAAATGCACAAAATTTGGAAGAAAAAGATTAAAAATATATATATTATTCTAGTTAAGTTTTATTGATTAAATATTCATTATTAGTATGTGCCGATGAACATATATAGAAGTAGTATGTCATCTTGTTGGAGGATTGAAAGTGGTGTTTTTTAATAGCTACGAGAAGAGCAGTGACAAATTTCTGACGGTAAAATGCCTTGTAAAACCATACAACAGCAAACACATTTTGTGTTGGTTTGTGATATTGTGAAGAGGACAAGTGACTTAACCTTTTTTTTTTTTACCTTAAACCAGAATAGTCTTGTGTTCCTTCAGTTGTGTAGTTTTTATTGCAGGGGAAGGTATTGATTTAATGTTTCGATAAAAACATTTCCTTATCTACCTCCAGACATTTTAGCCAAATAAAATTATTTATGGAGCTGTCATTATATTTCCCTTGTTGCAGAGTTTAATTAGTGAATACCCGGTTAATGTCATACAGTTTTAATTTTTTTTTATTTATCTGCATGTGGAGTTCCTTGAGTTCAAACTGTTTTGATGTTGCTAACTATATTTAGCTGATTACAAGGAAATTGACAGTCTTGTTATTAAACTAGTAAGATAAATGTGTAATTAATTCAAGCTTTCACTTTGGCCATTGTATTCTGCTTGTGCTGTCTATGTGTAGTATGCTGGATCCAAAGACATTCTGTCTGTTGCTAATTTATTTTAGCAGTTGATTCTAGACAGGCATAGTCATCTTATTGTGCACCTTTTAAACTCTAGAAATGCGCACCATATTTTTTATGCTATATATGATCATGAAAGACTGCAGACATGTGTGACTATTTCATTCATGCAGTCAGTGTGTTTCAGCTGCAAGCAGCTTATGTTTATTTTGGTCAGAATGCATGTTCTGTTTAATAGCGGTTTTTAATTTTATTTTTTAGAGATAAATTATAAAGATAGCACAAGGAGCTAGCTATGCTATGTGTGCCCTTTTGTGACATCTCATAAGCAAAGATTCCTAGAGCTTTGTTGTAGCATATTTTGTTAAGCCTGTCATCTTTGTAAGCAGTCTTTATAACTGAAGTATGTCAGCCTGTAACCGTGGGAGAATATAGAAGATAAAACCTATCAGTTAGTAAAACCAGTGCAGCAAGTACCTGCCTGGACTTGGTCGTGTCTTGTAGCATATGTGAACATTTGACTGAGCTGACCAAGAGAGCATCCCAGTAATGGCAATTTTCAACCATTCATTGTTCGGTCACGGTTATTTCAGTTCAGAGTACAGTAAAACGTCTGATTAACCATCACCAACCAGACCAAGGCTGTGATAGTTAACTGAATGGACAGATAGCAATCTCATATTACATATGTACCGTAATGAGATTTCAATCAGTCTCCTATTACATGTGTGCAGTAATGGGATTTCAATCAGTCTCCTGTTACATATGTACAGCAATGGGATTTCACTGTATGCTTAGGACATTAATGAAAATAAAATCCTTTAAAATTAAAAGCTAACACAGTACATTCAAATTGTATTCAATTTTACAAAACGATCAATATAAAATCACCATATGGGTAGTTATATACAAAAATGTATTGCAATACTAAAAACCTGCGTTACTTGAAAATAATCCGTCATCTCCTGTGTTTTTAAGGTTTGAGCTTTCTGTATGGCGATGTTCCGTATCTTACTCAGAAGTAGGATCTGTGTTGCTTTGCCTTCTCTTGCATTTTAACTCTACTGGCCCGCTGTTACTGGAATTTCCCAACTTGCTGCTAAACCGCTGTCCCTCAATGTCGGCAATGTGCGTACTATGAAAAAATAGTGAGTTACAAACTAAAAATAACTAGCCAGTCGTAATAAGATCTCGTGGATAATCTTCCTAGATGTCGGCCCGCATGTGCTTGGATAAAATTTGTGTTGTTTTACGTGAACAAAGTCTGAAAATTTACAACGAAACGAGCGGCTGATGAACCACGCACTGCGACAGGAAAGTGAAGTAGGTCTAGGCTTTTCACAGTCCACCGGGTGATCGATACTTTGGTTGATTCAGACTCTGCTGAATCATAATTTCATGAAGAATACGTTCACAGTTGAAGTGACACTGTCAGTGAGAGGTGGATTGATGAGGAGAATCTTGAAAATTATAAATCTAGAAATAGATCGAAAGA